ACGTTTCACCCACTTACTCACAAACGCCTTAGACTTCTTCATATACTTAGCAGCCGCTCCGCGCGACATTTTTGGTCCTTTCGGATGCGAACATAGAAACACAGCTTCGTAACGTGATGCGTACGCGGCACTCATGTTGAAATACGCCGTTTTGTGACGAAAGTCAAACGATAACTAAGGCTTTCTAGACAAAGCATCTTGGGAGAAAAGCCCCGCTATTGGCTCGCGTTCATATCCCCCCTCTAACGGTTTCGAGGAAAAAGTTTTGCCGTATACGCTCTTATCAAACATACTGTATAATCAAAATTCCAGGCAAAATAATAATATTTCTACAAAGATTGTCCTATTGATTGAACTGAATTAAAAACAATTTTACATAGTGAAAGTATGTGTGAAAATAAAGGAGCATCCAATAATATAAGGCGAAAACGATAATGAATAATTATTATCACGACATCGAATTTTTCTGCAAAGTTTACTTCATTCTACCTGCGTTGTACTAAAAACCCTAATGGAAGTACCTGCGAAAATTAAGCGGAGTATCCATCAATATCAAACGAAAACGATAACGCACAGTTACTATCACGAAATCGAATCTTTCTGCAAAGTTTATTTCTTTCTACCTGCGTCGAATTAAAAACCCTTTTGCATAGTGAAAGTATATGCGAAAATGAAGCGAAGCATCCATCAATATGAGACGAAAACGATAAGAAAAAATCTATTTTTTTATACATGTTTATGATATATCTTTAAGTGATGATATGTCTATAATATATCTATATATGGAACGGAGACGATCGTCAAAATGTTACATTTGATAAGCGCCAACATGTTCGCGCTACCCTTGCGCCGAATTATGATTTCATATATCGTCCTTTCACAAATGTTATGCAAGGATGTGTACGACGTTGTCATTTCAATTTTCTTATATATAGACGTTACGTAAATGTGAATGCCACGTTGCACTTATCAAATGTATTTATATTATAGACATATCATCACTTAGAGATATATCATAAATATGTATGAAAAAGTAGATTTTTTCTTATCGTTTTCATCTCATATTATGGATGCTTTCATTTTCGCACGTATTTTCACCAAGCAAAAGGGTTTTTAATTCGACGCAGGTAGAAAGAAGTAAACTTTGCAGAAAGATTCGATTTCGTTGTGATGATCCATGAAAGTTAACAGATCGTTACGACGATTATTCAACTGTTTACGCCGAAGACCCGCGTAACAAAGCGCCGATCATCAGCAAAATCAACAAACAGCGTCGCTGTTTCTAAAATTCGCGTATAAAAGCGGACGCGAAAACAATATCGAGAGAGATCCGTCGGAGAGCTCCTCTGAGACGCTCGAACGACCAGACCTCGCAGCATACCTTTCGCCTCATCACTTCCTAGACACTCCGTCGACCGAGTTGGATACGCGACGTCGACATCCTCTACCTAGACCGTTCCGTCGACCGAGGTGGATACACGACGTCGACCTCCGCTTACTCGACCGTCCTTCCTCACCGCAAAAACATCGGCCACACGACCGAGATCTCCAACACCTTGGAGCGCTCTCGAATACGCGTATCCGACGCTAAACGCGTCATTGCGCTCGCAAACGGCTCCGACGCCGCGTAACGCATTTCGCGTATACGAGTCGCGTAACACAGTGCGACAACATCCACTTCGAAACCGGCTCGATTAAAAGCCGATATCAACAACCAGTTAAATCCCGCTGAGTACACAGACTCACAACGCGGGCAATAGAAGACCGCGAAACGACACCGACTGCGTCCCGTGAACTGGGCGTGAGACTGGACGTCGCTCGCTCCGGCATCCCCTTAAACGAAATATCATTTTTTAAAATGATGAAAATAAAAAACTTTGTTTCGTCCAAGGAAACCATGTCGTTTGATGAAACAACATTATTATTTTAAATAGTATTCTTTAAGGGTCTTTTTCAAAATTTAGTAATTTGATTTGTTTGATTTGGATTTTCTTGGATTTTTTATTGTTTTGTTTGGATTAATCATTAAACATTCTGTTAAAAATCTAAAAATAATTATCACTGCTTCACTACATTAAACAAAATCCATTGCATATCGAATATTGTTGCGTTGCTTCAATATCTATTAATAAATTATCCAACAAACACTAAATAAAAGTTAAACTATTATTTGGTATTAGTTTGTAACTATTGTTTGCTAGGTATGTTATAATATACCATGAACATTATAAGAATATGTTACATAAACTTAAATCGTAAGAACATCGTTGAAGTCATCGGGAATCGCTCGATCGTTAATTAAATAGGCAACACTTTAACGGAATCAAAACTGGATGGATGACCTGGATGGTATTACTGCTTGAAATCGAAATTATCGAGGGAGGATTCGTGAAAGTTTGGAATGTGTTGTTAACAATCTTCGGTTCCTAGCGGTTTATGAGATATGAGGAAATTAAAAATTATAAATGTATTTCTGTATAATGTTATGATTTTCTCATTTTTCACCTTTGCACAATAATTTTCAATATTTAATTATTATCAATATTTAACAGTGATTTTATCATCAGTATTTACAAGAAATTAAATACTGGTTAAAAAATTACTAAATTACTGAATTAGTAGTATTTAATCATTAATAATTTATCAATATTTCTTAGTATGATATTTCTGCAAGAGTAGTACTGTGGCGGTATTACAAATTTGACGACCAGTACTGTCTAAGTACTGAATCGATTGTACTGCCAATGCGCGGGAAGTACTGGCTAACAACAGTTGGGCCAATATCATTTGTCAGTACTGGACCAGAGTTATCCAGTATTAGCACCAGTACTGCACCGATAGTTTTTCCAATACTGCGCCAATACTTGAACTCCGACAATCAGTGCTGGGCCGATTATAAAACCTTCTATGGGTAGGCGCTATTGAACGCGTGAGAATAATTTATTGTCAGATCCATATTCAAATTATGTGATTTCGCATAAGTGATTCGATCGCCGAAGCGTCAGCCACTATTTCGAAACGTCTTCTTTCTACGCATCATGCGAAAAACATGTTTGTGGAAGCTGCGTAGTGTCTCATCACGTGAGTCCTGCGGTCGTGCAATTTCCGTTTCGATTAATTTAATATCAACATATATAATAATAATAATAATAACACAGCTGTACTTTACATGTTAATTTTTTTAATACAGTTTCGATAGTCGTCTCTTTAGTAATAAATAAGCCAAAACTCGAAACAGAACATAATAGCCGAACAAAACGGTAATGTCGAACCAAAACAATGGTTTAGCAAAGTCGAGCATCTCTAATATCGTACTCGGCACCCGTAAGTGGCAGTAAATGTCCGGACATTGTAAGTTCTCACGACCATTGCCGTAGATGGATTGAACTACACCATTGAAGGCGTACCGTAGCGGGTTCAAGTAGCTGATGTAGTACAGGAGTGGAAGCATGTCTTTAAAAAAGTCAAAAAGGCCGGCGAGCATTAACATGATGCAAAAGATCATGGATCCGACGAAGCTCCCGTTGACAGGATTGAAAATCGCGCCTAATCCTAAGCCCAAACCCTCAGAAACGAAGAGAGTTAAGATGTGTACGAAGAAATACATAGAGAAGCGAAAGAACTCATACGGTTGATTGGTCATCAAGTAGACGATAAAAGTGCAGAGGAAGATGTAGACCGACTGCAACGGTATTGTGCTCACTAACATGGCCATATAACAAGTTCTCATCTGATACCAATTATTAAAGTGCTCATTTCGCAAAATATTGATCTCCAAAGGGAACTTTAGTACCGCCGGTAAAAAGCCAATATAGTACGCGTACCCAACGGTCTGGAACAGACAGGAGATGTTGCTGAATACCTTTCTGCCATCGTTGCCAGCGCGCACATTAATCATACCCGCTAATAGGGATACGAATATGTGACAGAATAGATATATATACTCCGTATCGCGTTTACGATATGTCAAAAGCATGTAGCGCTTCAGTAACACCCAGAATCGTATCAGTTCCGTGGGCGGACTCAATGCAACCATCTGATCGTTGTCGGATATCTTCTGGACCATGTCGCGCGACGATGTGATAGAATTTATCTCGTTGTTCGACTCAATGGGCCACTTGGCCGCCGCGATCAACTGTTCGTCGTAATCACCGTACTCTTTAGACACCACTTCTAGCATGTAGTCCGCGGGATTGTGATACATTGGACATTGGAGGCCTTGCAGGGCGAAGTAGTTGACCGTATTGCCGGGCGGCGAGCGATACATACAGTAACCATCCACCACTAGGTAAATTTGATCGAACATCTCATAGAGTGCTGCACTGGGCTGGTGTATAGTACAGATGATCGTCCTGCCGGATTGCACCAGTGTTTTAAACGCGTTCATGCACTGGATAGACGCGACAGAGTCCAGACCGGTGGTCGGTTCGTCCAAAAACATGAGCGGCGGATTGTCAATCAACTCTAAGGCGATGCTCAGTCTCTTTCTCTGACCACCGCTCAGCTGGTCAGTTCGGGTCTCCTTGATGTCCGATAACGTCAGCGTGTTCAAAATATCGTCAATCTGCATCTGCCTTGACTTGTGTGAGATACTCTTGTTGATCTTCAGATAGCTCGCTATCATCATGTTCTCCTGGGTGGTGAAGTGGCCATACAGGTTATCGATCTGCTGAATATAGCGCAGCTGTTTCTTGCAAGTGTCGCGATTTTGTATATTGTCTCTGTTGAGGTACGTCACCGTTCCCGTGTACAAACCTTCTTGAAAGCCGCTCAAGACGTTTAATAACGTCGACTTGCCGGCACCGGACGGTCCCATGATAGCCGTCAGCTCGGCGGATCTGAAGATTCCGCTTAGGCCTTTGAGGATGTGCTTCTTCGGTTCGCGATACCTAGTCCGGACTGCGTACGACAAATTCAAAAACTTGACGTCGATTGCCTGATTGCACGTTATATTTGTGAGATGGAGTTTCTGCTCCATTACTATATGATTCAAATTATTTTAAATGTTGATGGATATTTTTGCTATCTGTCTGATGCAATTATAATATTTTGAAATTTTTGCTGACTCGCATTTATCGGCAGCTTTTGAACACTAACACGTATAAAATGTTGGCGAGAATAGCCTTCGTAAAATGAGACAAGGTTATTATGAATCTTGATCTTTAGCCAATTGACACGTGCGAAATTACTTTCACGCATATAAATTTCCGCTCACAATTTACTACTTAGTCACAATGTTGCTTTGCAATTCGTATCAATTATACTGTTTCTTCGTGCGGATATTCCTTTTATTCGAACTGGTGTCTCGATCGTGATTGCAAGTTGTTTGAAGAAATTTTACTCCGTAAAAAGGACACACCGTTTGGACGTCTTTGGATGTTCGTATTCGGAATAGGCGTTTCGACGACAAGCAACCGAAACGATGGTGGAAAGCGAACTGGACAGTGCCTAGAAGAACGAATGCAAACGGTGACTGTGCATTCGTTCTTTTATATAATTGGCGGCTTGTCACGTGGACGACAACGTGACGAGAATATGTCTGAAATTGCAGCGAAACACAACCCAGCGAGAGATACAATTGTGCAATTGTAGTTGAATTATCGAAGAGTTATGATGTTTAATTATAACTTCTTAAGATCAAATACGTATGCGTTCAGCAACACCTAATATTATGCCACTATAGTTCTTGTGAGAAAAACTAGATAATAAAAACTAGATAATAAAGACTAGATAATATTATCCGCTTCAGTAGGTATAGTAATTGGTTTCTAACTCGCATCCTCTGTGGGAGTGCGGAGCGAGAGGAACTGTTGGTTTGGTCTGACGTCACGCGGGGAAAAGGGAACTTACCGACGGGGCACCGACATTTTTTTTTACCATCATTTTTATTACCGGTATTTTTACCGACATATTTATTACTGGCATTTTTTACCGACATATTTATGTATTACCGGCATAATTGGTAATTATTTTTCGACCCTGCGTTTTTTACCGACATATCTTTCTTCGTATTTTTTATATAATTTATATCGACATAATTGACCATTTATCGATTTTCCTTTCTCCGCTTTTCGACGCTTTCGCGGCCCTTCCCTCTCGCTGTTCACAACAGTTTGCGAGCGGGCCTTGCTACCCACCCGCTTTTCCCCTTTTCCGGCCAACCATCCGCGCGCTGTCCTCTAGAATATTCTCGAATATTCCAGAAAGTTCGAGACATTCTTTGAGGAGGGCAAGTCTTTTCAAGCAGAGTTTACCCTCCAAAACTGCGCAGCCCCCGATAAAAAAATTTATTTTTAAACATATACTATCGTATGCTTTCAAGCTGTCGCATACCTACGATATATTTACGTAGAAACTTTTTCAAATATTTGGTTAGGAAAAGAAACATTAATATATTTTTAAAAATGGAAGTAAAAGAAACATTAATATGTTTTTAAAAATGTTATTTCACTTATTTATATGAGGAGGACAAATCTTTTCAGATAGTAGTAGAGTTTACCCTCCGAAACTATGCAGCACCAATAAAAAATTTATCTTTAAACATACACTATAGTATGCTTTCGAGCTGTCGCATACCTATGATATACTTACGTAAATACTTTTTCAAAGATTTGGTTGGGAAAAGAAAGTAAACGAGACATTAATATATATATTTTTTTTTTATTTTATTTCACTTATTCATAGCTTCATACATAATATCTTTCAATGCGCAGCAACTCGCAATCAACGAGCGACTCACAGTCATAGTCAATGCTTTCACGTATTGCTTTTGTCGCATAATATATTTCGGTAACGTCCTTCTCTCGAAGGACATTCACAAAATTTCGGAATTTTATACTAACGAAATGCGTATTTTCAGACAGCCATACATACATATGATCGATGCAATGTTCCTAAGTAAATAATGTGTTCATAGTAGCAGGTTTCAGATATAAAGACTTATTAAATAAAGTAAGTTTTACAATTTTGGAATCACGCATCTTACAAAATTCCATTACCAAATCTTGAATCGACAGCGGAGAGAACGATGGTTTGTCAGCTTGCAGAAGTCGTTGGATGTCGAGACGTTTTTCCACCAGCTTCCCTTATAGAAATATCATACTAAGAATCATTGATAATTACTTATTATCCAGTATTTTTAATACTGAAAATAAGTAATTATCAATGATTCTTGGTATGATATTTCTATAAGGGTTTCTCAAAGTTTCAGTAGGTAATGTTAATTGATTACCGCAATTGTCACTGAGGATTATTTCCCCTGTAGACATAGGTCCTACGCTGATCCCAATCTCCAAATATTTGTACGACGTTGCAGTCAGAGCATATTTACGTCCCAAGATACGAGCAAAGGATGACGTGGTTGCGAAGTGCTATAAAAAATATAACAAAAGTTAAATGTTTGAAAAATAATTTAAACTGGGAAAAGTGCATAAAAATGTCCATTTGCATTGATACTTACTTTTCATATCTTTTCTTGCACGGTGGGATGTCACCATCATTATGTTGAACGAGCAAGTAGTAATTTGCATGTTTAGCATTCACTTCAGCACCGTATATTTTGATTTTTCTTTTTTTATTGTATTTAGTATATAACTATCACCGAACCTCGACTGTACAGAGCAACTGACGAAACCATAGTCTAAATCTTACTAATATAGACAAGTCCCCACCAACATTATTTATTCCCTCTCTTATTCGTCTTGTCTTCAGAATTATTAACACATGTATTGGTACATTTTCCGAAACTAGAAAATAAATCTATGACACAGCGTCGTAACCAATCAATTCAGCAATCATATGTCAATGAAGCAATGTCAGCCATGGTGCATTACAGCGCAAGAGAAAATGATGTGTATTGTAAAATATATAATATATATTTATACTTTTATTACAACTTTTAAAACGTTATACTTTAATAACGCTATGTATTTTATTTTTAATATAGCTTAAATATTTTTTTTTATCAAGCGCCGTCTAGTTTGGTTGCAGATAGCTGTCTAACACTGCCATACTAAGGATTTATCAACTTTGGAAAAAAGGGAATATACTTTTAGATAGGAAGAAGAACATATAAATATGAAGAGTGTTTCAGCAATGTATGTTTAGTCGAAGCAGCGATCGAAGACGAGCAAGTTTTCATGGAAGTGGAAGAAGATCATATTCTAATTGACGACGACAACTATTATAGTGATTGTAGTGATCAGTTTTCAAGTAAAAAAATAAAAATTCTAAAAAATTCTGAAATTAATAGTTTAAGTGGGTAAACGAGACAAAAAAATAGGAGACTCATTAAGAAGAATATCCATAGTACAGTTTGTACGCTACAGATCATTCAGTTTGCGAGGAATAAACGAACGCGGGGTGAAAGAAAATGTTAAAGTTCGCTTGTGCTACAGTCTTAAAGATTGGCCCTATGACTTAGTGCAGGGCACACCAATCAGATAGCGGAAGACTTACACCGGGTTATGATTGAGAATGTAAGTGAGGAAAACACTAAATTGATTGAGTCTATAATGCCTCCAGACATGACAGAGTGGGTGAACAATCGTAAAATTCCAATTTGCTATATAAAAGTTCCGGCAGGTGGTGGGAAGTTCACACATATAGTGCTGTTTCATGACATACATTTCTATCGTGAATTATGACATACTCGTATCCCAATTTTGGAGATAGAACGACACGATAAACACAAACTTTGTGGGTCTTACCAAGACAGTTTGACGTGGCCAAAATTAGATACGGTTGATCGGTGTGAGCAATATCAGTATGATATGTTTGATGTGGCGACTTTTTTCAACTTTAGTCGATTGCAAGAGTAGTACGAGCGACGCATTGTCGAGTTCATTTTGATCTCGATCGTTGGAGGAATTCCAGGAACTCGATAGCGGGTGGGCGCTATCGCGAATACGATCAACATGAACAAATACGTTGCACTCGTGTGTCACTTTGAGTTACCGCGTGAAATACAGCTGAAGCGAGCTGTGATTAATGTTAAATCTAACGACAATGCATGTTTCGCGTGGGCGATAGTCACCGCTCTACACCCAGGGGAAAGGTACACAGATCGCACATCATTGTATACTCACTACGCGAGCGTACTCAATCTTCAAGACATTGAGTTTCCCATGAAGATTAATCAAATAACAAGATTTGAACGATTAAACAATATATCCATCAATGTGTACAGTATCATGGGAAAAAAGAACGTCTACTATTGTTCCAATACGTCTCACCGATGGAAAGAGGGCAAAGCACGTCAACTTGCTACACATTTCGGACCCCTCGAGACCACAACGCGGAACATTTCGCATTTGGATCAAGAACTTATCCCGGCTCATGAGCTCGCAGTTGAGCAAGTATAAAGTCAGAAAATACATTTGCGATCGGTAAGTACATTTTATGAATTCATTGTATCAGAAGTATGCAATAAGATGATAGTAAATGAAA